TTTCAACAATCAAATATTAAAAAAAAATTATCATCAAAAAATAAAAAGTAATTGAATAAATAATTTTCTAAACATAATTGGCAAAATAAAATCAATTATAAACAAGTAACGCTCGTCTATGTGACTCGCTTGATCTTCGACTGAATATTCAGCTGTTTCGGTATTGTATACGGCTTGTCCGGCTAACGGCGACCCAGCGTGGCCAAAGTTGAAGTTCAAATTTTTCGAATTTAAACATGATCAGTTTGTAGAGCATATATAACTGTATAAGAATATAAGTCTTGTTTTTCCATTCGGCCTATTTGGAAAAAGAACGAGGGATAGGAACATAAGGTATGACTCGACTTTATTATTGTGTGTTTTAACAGTGCAAAGGAAATGGTTCTCATGAGATATTCTAAAATGTTTTATGAGAGAGCTTTGATCATGGAAAGAGTCGTGAATAAGCACGCTTCATTCTAGGATATCTGGTAAAATGTCATTCTCTTTCTTAGTTTAAAAAAATAGTCTCACAAAACTTCACTAAAAGAGCGATGAGTGCGTTACCAATGGAATGGTTTTTCACATTTATCATCCTAATACATGAGAAATTTTTAAAATGAGGTATTAATGTTTAGGTAACTTTTGAAGGCCTATCATATTTAATTTTTAGAATTTTTTAAAATTACATTCCTCAGAAAGATGAATGGTAACGCACTCATGCGACTCTTGTATATCTAGCAATTAATTAGTCTACTGATCACGAACTTTGTATAAATGCTAATGCAGTGCCTATTACAATTTAGCTAAATTTGTTTAATAGAAATGTGAGCATCTAATATGGATTATTCAGAATTTTTCGAATAACTATCATGAAGAAAGTTTTTTTTAATCAACATATTGCTTGCTATTTATAATACAGTAGTTTGCTTTATTTCTGCATTACTATACACATTTCTTCATTTGAATATTGTTCCCTCTGTAAATTGTTTTGTTAAATTCTTTTTTTTGTCCTTACGTACAATATATTTGTTTTATCCGTTACGATATACAGTCATTATTTTTCTTTTTCTTCTTTGACGAGATATTTTTCCTCTTTTCACTTCTTTTCTCACGGACGACTTTTTTTTCTTACTCATGAATATATCCGCGTCTGACGTCTTGGTCATCTCCATATATATATATATATATATGTGTTTTTGTTCTAAATAAACGGTGTAAACGTGTATGTATTAGTCAACATACTTAGGCTATCAGCAGGCCAATTCTAGTTAATCAACTTCAAAGTATTTTGAGAAAATTTTCGTCATTTTCTTCATTATAAATCTGTCGTATTCAAATTAATAATTTTGTCTATACTATGGTTCTTACACCAGCTGAAAAACAAAAACGATATCGTGAAAATCTTGTAAAAAGAGGTTTATATGAATTTACAAAGGTTAAACATGCTGCCAGAATGAAAGTTTATCGTCGAAAATTAACTGGATTAATACGAACTAAATATTTGGCTGCACATGCTGATGCACAAAGACGTTATAAAGGAAAAATGGTTTCAAATCCTAAGTAAGTCTTTCAATAAAAATAATTATCAATTAATCGTTCAATTTTTTAAATTGTTTTCTAGTAAATCATCTCCTACGATACAGACAGTAGCAAAAGCAACAAAAAAGGTCAAGCAAGTCCTTCCAAAAGATCCAATAAAAAAAAAGTTGGTTATACAAGCAATGGCTGAATCTGTTGGTCTTTTACCTCAACCATTTGCTCCACGTGTTTCAAGAACATTACCACTAAAAGTAAAAGAAGCTATTCTTCATTATTATGAACGTGATGACATATCATATCAAATGCCTGGTAAACGTGATACAATTGTTGTTAAAGAATATGCTGGTAAAAAAACTTATCAAAAAAGAATTTTATTATATAATTTACGTGAGATACATCACATGTTCTTACAAGACAATCCTGGTATGAGATTATTTTCATCTTATTTTCATATTGTTTTGAAAACCATTGTATTTTTTAATTCAGGTATTGATGTATCACGTTCAGTCTTTGCTCAATTGCGACCACAACATATTATGGTGAAATCTTCCATGTCACACCGTGTGTGCTTATGTTTATATCATCAAAATGTCAGTTTGCTTATTGATGCATTGTCAAAATTTATCAATGGACCAGCTTGTTCTGATTTACATACATTCACCAAAATACTTGTCTGTGATGAATCAAATGAACAGTGTATGTTTTCAAATTGTAATTATTGTTCTAATAATTTTAAATTACATGTTGAAAGCAAGATTATTGATGAAACTGTAAAATTAAAATGGTTTCAGTGGAACAACAATCGAGGTCATGCCGAAAAAAAAGAACAAGAAGGCACGGTGAAGGAATGTGTACAATGTTTATCACAACAAATAAAAAAGTATTTGAATCATGTTTTTATTAAACGTCAGCAAAGCAAGTTTTTTGAACAAATGAAAGATAATTCTGATGATAAATCAATTGTTATACAAGTCGATTACGCCGATAATTTTGCTATTGAAGAACAAGATGCTATTCAATCAGCACATTGGTCGACCAAAACAATTTCAATTTTTACCGCACATGCATGGTGTGGTCCATTAAATTTCTCATTTGCATTACCTTCAAATAATGTAACTCATAATAAATATTGTACTAATACATGTCTTGATTATATTATTAGTGAAGTAAAACAATATTTACCAGATTTAAAAAGAATTATGTTTTTCAGTGATGGTGCTGCTTCTCAATTCAAGCAGCGTTTCTTATTTCGAAATTTAACAAGATTATCAATTGATTATAATTTATGTTTATCATGGAGCTTTTTTGCTACCAGTCATGGGAAGGGGGTGGTGGATGGTATTGGCGGTATTATTAAACGAATAGTTTGGAAAGAAATTATGACTAAAAAACAATGTAAAACAGCATCTGATTTTGTTCTTCTTGCTAAAAGCAAAACCAATACCATTATTTTACACGAAATAACACAAGCAGCAATTGATGCTTCAGAACAAAAACTGCAACAGATATTCAATGATACAAAATCTGTTCGAGATACACAAAAATTACATCATGTAACTGTTGTAGGTGAGGATATTATTGAATGTCGTCTATATAGTGAATCGACATGTTGTTGGAAGGTGAGGTTTTGAACATAATATAGATAAAGAGTAGATATTTTTTATGAAAGAGTTTTTATTGTATTATTATAATGACAAAAGTGTGTTTTTTTTAAAGGATTTTATCATACTATTATAATGGCAAAAGTGTGTTTTTTTAAAGGATTTTATCACACTATTATAATTACAAGAGTGTGTTGTTTTTTTGAAATAAATAAATTACTTTCACTATAACATTCATTCTAGACGTTCATGAATTGTTTAAGCAAAGGTTTGGTGCATATGCCTTGGCACTCAAAAGGTTTTAAAACAAACCATGCTGAGTGCGTTACCAACTGCTGAGTGCGTTACTGGAATACTTTGCTAATAACTCTTTATAGAAATAAGCCTTCAAAAAGCACATGCCATGGTTATCAAGTCTATCAACTTACCTCCAAATTCATATAAAAATATTTTCTTTGATGTGCATAAATTCGTAGAAATATAAATTTCTTTGCATGGGCCTAATGACAAGGGGCCTTTTAAATGAGTGCGTTACCACGCTTTCCTGAATCTGTACAACCGCGATAGTACAGTCAAATGAAGCCAAATTTTTAGTAGAGGTAGATCTTCTAATTATCTTGTGAAACTATAAGTTTCAGGTCTTTACTACATACTACTGTTGAGTTATAGGAACCCGAAGGTCAAAAAAGGGTGAGTGCGTTACCTGTGGACAAGCCGACTTGTTTAATTTTTAAATAAATCAAATAATAAAATATATCAGTAACAACATAGATAAATTAAACAAGTCCATAATGATTCAGTTTATTATGATACTTAATCAAACAACTATTATGGTGTTACTCAACAATGCTGATGATGGACAAAGAAATTGTTCGAAATATTCAACAACTGAAGAAACAATCGAAATTATCAATATTTTATCTCTTATAAAACGTTTAGTCTCTATGTTGTTACTTATAGATGTTTAGATAAGCATTAAATAAAAAAGGAGAACATTGATTTTCATGCAGTTAATCGTATCATAAGTACAGTGATGACATCGCATTCAACGTCAGAAGTTGAATCTCGAAAACAATTTCATGTATAAGCAAGTAAACATCTTAAATCTTTAAATAACAAATTCCGAGAAGAGATTGTAGTCATGCAAGCCATGGATGAAAAGAATATTCTTCGTCGCCTTACGAATAAGTGCTCAACATATTTCGATTCACGTTTTATATTTTGGTGTTGCATTTCCTTTGTTACACAAAATACTGACTTGAAAATTTTATTATGTGATACCAAAATTGATTAACCGATGTTAGTATATTCAGCGATGAAGGTTATTTAGAAACGTACCCATGTTGAAACCAGCTTCTCGAATGAGATACTTTTTTGAATAATATACAGCTACGTAATGATTGAGCAGCTGATTGTTTTGTAACAACTTTTCGCTTAAAGCACCACATCATGTAACTAGCTATTGAAAATCTATCGCGATTTAAGCATTATCATAGCTGGTTAAAAGAGCTATTTGGAAAAAAATGTATACAGTTATTATATGATTTAAATACGTAATTCACTTCTAAACAAAATTTCGTCTTGGACTCCTTTGTGTAATCAGTAGCTGGAAGTCTCCTGCTATATAAAAATCATCACACCTATTTAAACATTTTCATACATATCCTAATGCATTTGAAAGTTACTATATACAGATAAAAACGTATTCAAAGCTTGAAATAGTCATTGCTCGAGATAAAAAATTGGAATGAATGAGTACCTGAGTATTTATTAAAAAACCTATGCTTATTTCTTCAATATCGTTAGAGATCAAAAGGGTATTAGTTGACGAAATTTTTTTTTGAGCCCTTGCTCAAGATATATCAGTTACGATCAGAAGTAGCTGAGTATTTCATTAAACAGTTACATTTTTTTCTGTAGTATCATAAGAAATTAATAAGTGATTCGTTGACAAATTTTCTTTTTTTTTCGGTCAAACTGCTGATGCATAATGTGATAAACACTTCGACAGTTTATCGATGAACTATAAGACGTGTAATCGATGTCTTTTAAAAATCTTTATAAAATTTTGACTTTCATCTTGAGAAAGAAAATATATTACAAAACCAATATCATCAATATTACCAATAAGTTCGTTTTTGAAAATTTAAGTATTTATCTTTTATATTAAAATTCTAAACATATAGAATAAACAGTGTTACCCGTATAGTATATGAACTGAGATGAGAAAAAGGATTTGAAATAAACATAACCTTAATCCTCCTCCTTTTTTTTGCTCGGGTTAGTGTTTTCTGCTAGCTCAATTAAAATGGCTATTTCTTGATTAAATGATTAATATTTATATATAGATATTGTGCTATACATCAACAAGAGAACTCTATCAATCCATAGCAACACGTTTCAGGCATAGTATTGATTGATTATTGAATCATCTATGTGAAAATAAGACAAGAAATGTACGCCCTGGAGAAAAAAAATTTCTTGAAGAACATTTAACCAATGATTTCAATATCATCATGTCTCCATGATTAGAAAACTATGATTAAAATTTATACTTATTTTTTCAAAATTCTATGTTTGCTATATAAAACTTAAATACTTGCTACAATAAGACAAAGTATTTTCTCTATTTAAAAAAAAATGTTTTCTAGTATACAATTTAAGAAATTATCCAATGTCCTCATGTGTCACATCTACATCTTCCTAAAGTCTATTCAAATTGACATAAAAAGAAGTGGAGAGTTCTGCATCTTCCTGAAGTATATTCAAAATTATATTTTAAAAAATTGGTGAACTGTATATTTTCCGAAGTTTTATTTATAATCTAGCAAAATTAAAATATAATTTATCTTGAATAAATAACATTATTTATTTATTCTTCTGTTTTTCGATGTTTTAAAATTTATAAATGTTTTTATAAGTCAGGTTAATTTTGCCTGACACATATATTATACGTTCAATTTCGAATCGACTTCTAATTCATTTGCGTATACCTCTTATGGTTGCAGTAGTACACAGATTGTTTATCTGTTATAGTACCATTCATATTTTAAGAGTGTGGATAAGATGTGGGTGTGTTATCTCTTTCGTTCACGCCCAAAACCCACACCCACACCCTCGAATGATTAGTCTATCAGTTAGGGATGCGACAGCTTCATATCAATTAGCTGAGCTGATATCGACATCCCAAGTCTTTTCACATGAGCTTGGATTTCTGAAAAGAGCTGATCGTTATTTATTCGATTTAGATCTTCCAAATCATTAAGCGATGACCTGTCACACATCTACTATCAATATCATTTTCCTCTTGACAATCATCGCTTTGAAATCTACTTAAAGATTCACTTTTAGATTATACATATTTTACTAGCGGTTGAAAAGTTTTTCTTATGAAGAAGTCCTTTTAGTTAGAGAACCTGATTGCTCTGAAATAAAAGGAACAGTTACATGAATATTGTTAAGACTTTTATTAATAGGACTTTTTTGTCATATAATTGTAAATAGAATTTTAAGTATTTTCTTGATTGAATGTATTCCCAGAACAGTATTGAAAAAATTTTCCCGTCATTTAAAATTATGTAACGATATTCAGGAAATCGATGTCAGTTTTGCTAGCCATGTCTATGCTATATTATTAATATAAACTGGTGAAGATGGTTTTAAGCTCTATATTGCATCAGAAGTAAAATTGATTTACTATATCTACTTTTTAGAGATTAACTATTTTTGTTTCGGTATACATTACATATATTTTATATGTTACTAGAACAAGATAAAGATTATGGAGTTATCAATGTTGAATAAGATTATTTGTTTTAACTAATTCTAAACTTCGTAGTAATTTTAGATATTTTGCTCAACAAAATCTTCGAATTGAACGTATGTATCCATTTTATGGACATGATATTGATCAGAAAACAACGTCATTTCATTTAAATTGACGATATCGTGTCTCATTTGATGTAAAAAATCGAATTTTGTTTTAATAAATTATTTTATATATATATACGTATATTTAATTTATGTTTTAAATAGATTATTTCATTAATAAGAAAGCTTTATTGAAAAACGAAAACAAATATACAAAAAAGATTTGTTCAGTTTCTTCCTGGAAATCATAATCTAGATTCAGATTCATCATAATTTGACTTTTTCTCATGAACAACATAATTAAAATTTTATTTAAGATCATGTAGTCGTACATCTATTTATCTTAATACTGAATCTTTTGTGGATTTTTTCACCGTTGCCGCATATGGTCTTACACTCGGAAAACAGGTATATACGACTAAAGAAGTCAGTAGTTTTAATATCTAATATTTTTGTATGGCTTCTTAGGAGATATCCATACTCTCGCTTCAGAAAACATAGCAATCAATTATATTCATGGAGCAACAAATGAATCATACTGTTTAACTAACACATCGTGATGAATTCGAACAAATAGTTCAAATTTATCAGTGTTCTCTGTTCTTTATTTTTATATTGTTTTTTAAATAAAACTTTTTATAGTAAGCATGCTTTTTAAAACATGCTTCTGTCTAATAAAAAAAAGATATCTATTTATAGAAATTATCCTTGAATAAATGATACCATTTCTTGAGGAACCTTTATCATATTCTCTGGGTTGTTTTTATTTGATAAACATAATCACGATGAGGAGCATTACAAACAGTTAATATGGATGAAAAACTTGAAGCAATTGTTAAATTCAGACGACCAGTTGAATACCTAAACTGAAGGCTAGTCAGTGATTAACTATGAATGATGATTTTTCATGTGAATTTGTGGTAAATTTAGTTTTTTATTTTGAAATCATATTTTTTCTTTTAGCTCTTGATATGCTTTTATCATTCATATTCAAAACAAAAATACCTCTGTTATCTAGAGAAAAAAAAGTGACGAGAAAGATACTCAACTTCTTTTCGTTACTATTAGCTTATCGAAATACATTTCTTACAGTTTTTCTTTCCAATACTATGTCACATGATAAACAGAAATCACTAGCAAGACAATTCATGAATGACTAT